CAGCCCCTGCAGCTGTAACTGTCCTGTAACCACACAGACGCTGTGCGGTGCTACCGAAACCCAAGTATGTCTGCAGGTATGGTTGTGCTTCCTGAGTGACCCACACCACTTTCTTTCTCCTTAGGCTGCCTTGTGAGCAACCAGTTTACCAAGGCCCACAATTGGAAGCTCAGAGGTATCTGGGAAGGTCTAGGACCAATAGTGGAAGCTTCCGCCAAAAATGGTGCAGGGTGATAAAGACCAGAACCCAGCAGTGGTTTCTGTGCCCAGCTCCCTGTTGGGAGGATGCCTATGACACAAGGCAAAATGAAGGGCTCTTTGGAGATCATGGAGAATCCAGGAGGGTGACACAAACACTGGTTTCTGGGACCCTCTGCTTCTCCATTTAATGGAAAGGCCTTGAAAATAATCCACACACTGGGAACCTGGGAGAACGGTCATGACATCAAGATGGGAAAGAAATTTGGAGAGAAAGGCATGAGGAAATGGTGGAGACAGGGCTGGGCTTCGGTGCTCCAGCAAAGGGTACGACCTGGTCCTGATCTCTCTCAGGCTGTCATCAGTCATGTCCCGTGATGTCTCATGAGTGAGACCATCTGCAGACTCACAGATTTTCCAGGCATTATACTGACCTTTCCCTTTGCTCCTCCCTGCTCTTTCTCAGAGCATCACACTTAGGCAATCATCAAATTAAAAGAGTAATGGTTTGAAATCTTTTAATTTTTCCAATTATTTCCTGACTTTCCCTGTGGATGGTTCAGATGGTCACCTGGCCATCCCCTCACTAGACTTCACTTGCCCCCAGGACTAGTAACCAGCTTCCCAGCTATTTCATGGCCATGGTGATGAGGTGTGATAGGGCCCAGTGGCATCTCCACAAAAAAAGGGACATGCAGTCCTCACTGAGGATGTCGGATATACAATTTCTGACTGGGACAGTGGCACTTCCAACATGGGGCAACTGTCTCTGCTGTCTGCAATCCTCCCATGACCACCCAGGTTGCCTGGTCCTCTCCCTTTCTCTTTCTGCCTTATGGGTAGGAAGACATTCCCCCTTTACAGCAGCGGGCTCCCCGCTCCTCTTCCTCACCAAGCCCTCCCCTCCAGCCATGTCAGGTAGGACCAGCAAGCTTCATATCCGCAAAGATGCAAATCCCACTAGGGAGGCAGGGTAGGTCAAGGGCTTGGCTTTGGTGTGGGAAACCTGGCTCCCCTCACTGGCAGTTGGTAAGGTCATTCCCCATCCTTCCCACAGCATCAGAGGGGGATACAGGCAGTGCAAATCCACACCAGCCTGGTGCAGTCAAGAAGACAGCAGGGGCAAGATGCCCTCCCACCCCCAAATGCCAAATCTTGCCCCCCCCACACCCCACCTGCCCCTCATTCCCTCACGTGCCCACCTCCACGGGAAGGGGATTTTGCAAAGAGGAGGTGGCGCCTGCTCATCCATCCAAGTGGCCGTTCTCATCCTGGCCACTGCTGCTGCCTCAGCTCCTCTTAGCCCGAGCTTCCTCTCCCGTCTTCGGGTCTGGAGCAAGCTGGACGCTCTTAAAAAGCTTTTTATGTGCGTGCGTGTGTGTGTGTGAGTGTGTGTTAATCACATGATTGTCATTCACCTGTATCCCGAACAAAGACGGTGCACTGTTTAGGGCCCAAACAAGAAAGCCAGCAAGGGAAGGAGGGGGGTTGTTGGGAAAACTGAAGGGGCCGTTGAGAGAGCGGGCGCGCGCGAACAAATCCTTATCAAACTCCCAATTCATGGGTCTCCCTTTCCCTCAGCACACTGTGGGTATTGTTTGGCTGGGGGGTGTGTGTATGTGTATTTTTTCGAATGTCTCTGTCGTCCCCTCCTCGCTCCCCAGCTCTGACGTTGTTTTACTGTATGGAAAGATTTCATGGAGAACCCCTCCCATTTTCCCAGGCAGTCCTGGGACAATACCAGTGCTGTGCCCCTGAGTTGGGCAGGGGACAAAAGCTGGCCCTGGCTCTCATGCTGGGGATCCTGCTGCTCCTCTACTGTGGACAGGCTCTCCCCTCTTACTCCTCTCTTGCTACAGAAGCAGAGGAATAGGTGTCATCTGGCAAAATCCCTCCCCGGAAACCTCAGTGGTCCCACCTGGGTGGTGGAGGTGTCCCACCAATGTGGTCCCCTCATTTAAACCCTACTGAGGAGGTGCTGCTGCAATGATGCACCTTGCTCTCCAAGCAGTCAGCCTGGAGCAGGGTGTCTTTCCTACTACCCTTGGGAGTGATGTGGACACAGAGGCACCTGATGGAACATCTCCATTTCCCACTTGCTTTTAACCATTTTCTTCCTCGCATAGCTTTATGGTGGAGAAGTGGCATCCTTCCAGCTTTCCATATTGGGGACTGAGGCCCAAGGAAAGCAATTCACTGATGTGTCATGGGAAATTTGTGGCTTACCAAGGTGTCTGGCTTGTGAATCCCTTCTTTCACAAAGGACTGTCCCTTCTTACGGACCTGTAACTCCTCATCCATAGAAATACAGGCTGAAAAGAAGGGATGGAAATCTGCTATCTGAGCATTCCCCCTGAGATCAGTTATTGGGAAAACTTGCATTTAGAAAGACCACTTCTGCAATGTCAGCTTCTGTGGCCAGCAGTAGCATTTAGAGGGTCCTCTAAAAGGACCCCCAGGAGTGACTCCCAGGAGGAGGAGAAAGAGACATGCCACCCTAGTGATTCCTGAAACAGGAATGGTCTCTTCTCCTTCCCCTCTGCCTGTCTTCTCACCTCAATTGAAGAGAAAGATCATACCTCTCCCTGCTGCAGTAGAGTTATATTTTCCACAGCTCTCTCTCCTGCATCTGCCTCTTTGTAAAACAAGAGAAGAGGCGATATATGAACAGAAGAGAATTGAAAAAGGATATACAAACACTCAGTGCTGTGAGAGGGATCTGGAAAAAGGGGGGAAAGGGCTGCAAAGAAAGAGAGTTCAGAAAGTGGAGGCTGGACCAAAGGAGACAAACCGTAAGAACTGGAGTAAGGCAAAATGAAGGAAAAAATCCCTTCCCTGTCATTTAAATATGAGCAGACACTGGGACATCAGATTGCAGAGACAATGGGGCTGGTACATGCTCCTTTGACCCTCTGCAGCTGAGTCACCCACAGCTCTTCCGAAAAGGCATGAATGGGACTTGGGTCCTGTCTGGCAGGTGGCAGCAGTCCTTGTCAGGGATGGTGAGCAGTGGGACAAACACTCGTCCAGAGCCCTGGGGGTTACTGAAATCCCTTCTGGGTCTGATTCCTTTCTTATCCAGTTGGGAGTGGCAAATAAATCTGAAGGGAGGGCAAATAAACATGGTTTTCTGGCCATTTTCTGTGTCATTGTTCCTCCCCAGCCCGGGTTGGAGATTGGCTGCAGACAGGGGAACAAGCAGGGCAGCGTTTCTCAGCAGTGGCTACCTTCCTGAGGGGCAGGAGACCAACTCCCACTCCACTTCTCCCACACCTCCTATGCAGGGCCCCTGCAGATTGGATGGAGGAAGATGCCATGAGCTCTGCAGTATCACTGACTCTGCATCCAGTGGGCCATGGACAACTGTGTATGAACTGACCTTGCCCCACCAGTTTTTGCTGGTTATCTGTCCACCAGAGAGAGGATGATCTGCCAAATTGCTCCTGTCTGTGCTGCGAGACCTCTTCTTGTGACAACTACAACTGGGGTCTCTCTTGGTGAGAGAACTCATCCCATACTGCAAGACTTGAGGTTGACCAGCTGCTGATTTGGCCGAGGAAGCGGGGTCTCGATATTTTGCTAGGCTCTCCACTAAGTTTTCTTGTCATCACAAAGTTTCTAGAGTGAGTATCTGCTGTAGGAGTTGAAAATGTTCTTGAAATCCCTTCAAGCTGGTTCCCTGGATCACATCCTTTAATCTTGTTATAGTTTATGACTTAGCACTGAAGTGTCTTCAGGTTGGGTCTCCAGCAAGGAGCTGAGGCCAGAGCTAGGTTCATCTCATTGATAACTCAGGAGGGCCTGCAAAGATCAACAGAATTTTCATGGGTGACTTCTCATGGTTGAAGGGTTGGTGTTGGTCTATACTAGCCCTGGTAACAAAGAAAAGTGAAGAAATCAACTACCAGAAGCACCTGGGAAGGAAAGCAAGCTAGAAAATGGAAGATGTGATGGACAACATTCTAGTACATTGAGTGCTAAGATCCTCTTCATGTCCCAGTGCACTAGCAGCAAGAATGAGGGTGAGTGAGTGTGAGAGAGTCCTTCTCATCAGGAGACCTTCCTTTCTTTGTGAAAGACCCCACATTTGCCTTCAGAAGCAGCTCAGCATGTTGGAGGAGGCAGAGCCTGCTTGTCTTGGGAAGATGCCACAGAGATGAACGTGTTGTGATGAGCCCGTTCCTAGATTGCAAAAGTCTTAAGAAGGTTCAAATTGGTATCCACTGTCCAGCAGCATGGTATTTTCCCTGGACTTGATGTCCTCCACCCTCAGGACACACCTGATCTCCTGCATCCCCTTCCCCACCCTACAGATGCAGGTCTGAATGATGCTCTTTTAGCACCAAAGGGTCCTGGGCCAACTTGTTGCAGCACAGCAGGGTCCTCATGAGACTCTGTGACAAGGACTGGGGACTCATTTAGCACATGGGGAGCACTAGATCCCTCAGGAGTGACCATGCTATCAGGGAAAAAGCGTGGGACTCCTGTCCTGGGGATGCACACCCACCTCCCCAAACCACCTAGATCCCTTCCAGCATCCCACCACCCCAGCTTCTCAGGGGTGAATCTTCCAGCACCATCTCTGAGGTGGTCATGCCACTGAGAGCAGCCCAATGCCAGCAGTTCAAGTGAAGAGGCTGGCACCACGGAAAGCAGGGAACGTGCTGGTGACTGAGGTGGGGTGGGGGGCTGCTTGCATCCCCTCCCCGCTGCCCCTGACCGACTGTATTCTGGCTCTGAGGAGTGCTTGGCTCCACCTTCCGCCCTTCCCTCCCCCGGTGCTAAGCAGCAAAGCCAGCTAGAGACATCCAGCCGGGGTATTAGTAAAAACCAAGCCTCCCTCCAGGAATGGCACTCGCTTGAGAGCCTCCCTGTGCTGCACGCCCCGACGCCGCTGGGGCTGGGAGGGAGAACAGGGGGACTATTGGGATACAAATCACAGCCCTCGCAGGATTTGCCCGGCACATCGGCCAGCAATGTAAGTTTTCCTACCTGAGCTCGCTTGCACACGCACACACGTTTGTTCGCGCTTTTCCCCCCCTACTTTCTCTTACTTTTTTCATTTCCCCCATCGAAAGTCTGTGTTGCCCTCTGAAACTAGAGGGATAGCCACCCTTGCTCTAGACTGGCTTTTTTCTTCAGTTAAGTCAGGGGCATGCTTTTCTAGAGCTTCTTTATTTTTTCTTTTTTATTTCTTTCTTCTCTATTTTTTTTTTTTTAGATCCTTAATGGGGAGGATAGCAAGGCCTTTATTTTTAGAGTGTTTCTTTCTCCAGGGGGAAATTGCTGCATGGCAGCAGGGACTTTTAGAGGTGACTACAGACAGAAGGAGAGAGGCGGAGTGTGTGGGGCAGGCAACCCAAAGCTTTGGCTTGTCTCAAAGTTAAATTTGGTTTTGTTTGTATCTGTATATTTATAGATATATGCATGATGTGAGTATGTATATGCGTATATACACATAGACAGGAGTGTGTGTGTGGATGAAGTGTAGATGTATTTTAAGCCTTTGGTTTATCAGCTGCAAGAGGAGGGTGAGGGATGAGGTGTTCCCACAGAAGCACTTTCCTATAGTTGGGATCAGGGTCTCTGAGTCTGGACCCAGGGCCTGGGCTGATTCCCTTCACGGTGGTACCACTCGCTCAGATTCCCTGGCAGCTGGAATATAGGTCCCTTCTGACTTATCAATACCGTGCTGGCACTTCCCCTCTCATGCCTCCCCCTGGGAATTTCATTGTACATCTTTGAAAGAAAGGAGCACTTCCCCACACAAGTTTTGTGGCTGTCCCCCATATCCCACTCCCCTGTGGGGTGCTGTGCCCAGGCAGGATGGTCCGTGTCTCTCTCCTTTCAGGTCCCCAACCTTCCTTATCCCTTTTGCTGTAGGCCCTTCTGCACATGTCAGTTCCACACAATTGCAGAGATAGGGAGCAATATGCCAATTAATCAGGGGCCCCGACCCATTCCCACCCCCATCGATCACGGGTTTTGTGGTGTGCATGGCAATTGCTTTGCTTGCGCTTTTAGTGAGCAGCCCCTGACTCGTGGTCAGTTCTTCAGAGACTTTGGAGCACCTTTCAGCTTTGGTGGTTGCTTCTTCTTTTCTCTTTTCCCCGCTCTTTCCTTTCTTTCCTTTGTTTTTTTTTTTCTTCCTTCCTCCCCTCCCCAGTGAGAAGAAGGACAGCGAGAAGGAAGAGAGAAGGCTCGAGAGCAACAATGGCTGATGACCAAGACCTTTCAGAGGTGGAGATGAGCCCAGTGGGCTCTGAAGACCACCACTGTCTCTCGCCAGGACCCTCCATGGCATCGGAAAACTCCCCACATCTCACTGGTTCTGGGAACGGGGAGATGGGGAAGGTCAAGAAGGAACAGCAAGACACAGAGGCAGATGATGACAAGTTCCCGGTGTGCATCCGTGAGGCAGTCAGCCAGGTGCTGAGTGGCTATGACTGGACCCTGGTGCCCATGCCTGTCCGGGTCAATGGAAGTAACAAGAGCAAACCCCACGTCAAGCGGCCCATGAATGCCTTCATGGTCTGGGCACAGGCTGCCCGGAGGAAGTTGGCTGACCAGTACCCGCACCTCCACAACGCCGAGCTCAGTAAGACCTTGGGGAAGCTTTGGAGGTAAGCGCGAGCGGCGGAGTGGGATGTGTGAGGGCTGAGGTCCAGAGGTGTCCTGTGGAGGACTGTGCGGTCATGCGGAAGGATGGAGACTTAGCGGCATGGAATGCATTTCACTTGAGGGGACTTTCCTTCTCTTTGGGGAACTTTCCTTCTCTATGGGGAGCATAGATTTTGACTGGAGCAAGAGTAGTGGTTGAATGTAGTGAAGGATTCCTCAGCAGAGCTCTCCTCAATCCTAGGTGGCAGACCTTTTCATGTGTTTCCCACTAAGTTTCCTTGTTGTTCCCAGCCAGGACAATTCTCATCCTCCCTGCCTGACTGCCTGGAGATCTCATTTTCTTGGCTTACCCTCCCTGCTGGGCCAAGTTGTGCATAGCAGGAAATGGGCTGAGCTTAAGACTTAAGCCCTAAGTCACTGGTGTCTGCCTCAAGCCTGTTTGAACTCAGGTCCCAGCGCCAGCAGGGTTTCGTTTCTGAGCAGTGCCACAAAGCAAGAGGGAAACCAAGTTACAGCTGAGGATGAAGGTCAGGGGAAGAGAGACAGGCAGTCAGAGCCCCACATCCATCCTTCCCAGGATGGTCCCAGTTTTTGCAGGTCATGCAGGTTCAGCAAGATGGGCAAGGAGAGACCTGGCTAGAAAGTGAAGTATGAGGCTTAGCAGAAAGGACGAGACCTACAACAGTCCCAGACTTAGCAGGCTCCCTTGGAATATGCTGACTCAAATGAGCCACATCTCTCTTTGCAAATGAGCTGAATCTCCCTTTGCACCCAGAGAAATGCCCTCCCTTCTTGCCAGCACACACATGCTTGTCCTTCTGGCCCCATCCGTTTGTGTGGCCATTTTCATTTTGTCTTAGTGCGGATCCTGGGTCCTTGGTGTACCCTCTGCTCCTTCCTCCAGAAGACTGATGGGCTGCCCTGATTGCAGCTGGCCCGTGAGTGTGCAGAGAGCTGTCATGCCCAAGCCAAACGTGTGCGGCTGGCCGTGCCACTTCCATCCCATCTGACAGTCTCTGCCTATAACCCCACCAAACGGTTACGAACACTTACTGACACAAGTGCCCAGCACAGTCCACTGCCTTGCACCAACCAACACAAACCAAGGCTCATTCTCCCTCCCGCCCTGAGGGCATTTCATAGAGGAAGCCCTCAGTCTTGGGTGGGCCAGGAGACATTCTTCCAAGCAGAAACAAAACATACTCCGTATAGCAGCTGATGGTGAGGTCTTTTAATTTTGGCTTCAAAACTCCTTGCTTGCAAGGGACCAACCCCTTGGGCATTAGATTGTGCCTCTGCTATGTTAGCCCATTTACCGTGACTCCTCACTGCTTAGTGTAACCCCAGAAAAGAGATTTCTTTAGGAAGTCAAAAGCAGGCTGTTGATTGCAGGTGTCTAATCTGATGCAATTTCCTGCTTTGACCCCCTCTGCCTTCCCTTCCCTTTATCATGGCACTCGCTCCCACCTGGGGCTCTGCTGCCAGCCTCTGGACTGTGAAGCTGTGCTGGAATGAGTGAGAGTGTGTGTGTGTGTGTGTGTGTGTAGAATCCAGCTTTTTTGTTCCAAAAATGTTGATTTCAAGGTATCATTCCTCTACTGCAAAATGTTGCCAGATTTTAGAGAAATAGTCTCCTTCCAGACACTGCATTTTCCTTGAAAATATAGCAGAGCAGCACTACTCCGCATATATTGCATTCAGAGTGCAGGGAGACATAGCCACCAAATGTCCGTGCACCCAACTGCCTCCCTGCTCCAGGGGCATGGCTCCCGCTGCTGGCCGCATGGGACTCAGAACAGTAGGACACTGCTGCTGGACAATGGTCAAGGTCCCAGTGTTTCTTAGGGCACTGTACAGCCAGAAGTTTGTGGGGTCAGGCCTGGTGCTCTTGTGTGCTGCTGAGTTTGCCACCTGGGTGCTTTGCTGAATGTCTCCCCTCTGAGTGTCCCGAGTGCAGGCTGAGGTTCTCTAAGCTGTACCAGAGCAGAGTAAGCTGGGTTGTGGGTACAGGCAGTGTCTGGCCTCGGTAGGACCTAATGTGTGTGTCTTTCTGTGAGGCTGGGGGAAAATACCAGCCACAAAACTCCAGGGAAGGTAGCCCAAAGGCTATAAGGGTAGTAGCCCGGAGACTTGCCTTCCAGCCATGGCATGGTTGGGTCTTCTTCCACTGAGGTTCCCACTGCCATTATTTACACTGTTCCCACTGCCATTATCTACACTGTCCCACATGTATAGCTCCTACACATCAGTACAACTGCAAGCAGCCATGATTTTTCTGGCTTGGTCTCAAACTTTTGACAAGGGTCAAAACTTTTGACAGGGCCCTGCAAAGGGCCCTGGCTCACCCCTACAGGGTGGCCTCCCAAACCCTACAGCCATGGCTTGTAGCTCTGGAAAATGTGGGTTACTACTATTTCCATCCGGGCTGCTCTGACCTTATACAGATAAAGGGCATGTAAGGCAGAGAGGCAAATGCAGCTGAGCACAGAGACTGCCTGCAGACCACTGTTAAACTGAGCATGTCCCCAGCAATCATCACTGAGAGGGGCTGGGAAATCTTTAGAGGCAGCTAGCAGATGGAGCAGTAACCCCAGTGCCATCCCATGTGCCCCTCTGCAAAATGGGATGCAACGGCCTGGTCTTTTTTTTTAAGCCCAGATTATGCTCCAGCTCAGTGCCACCACCATGTCCCCTATAGGTTCCCGTCCTCGTTGGAAAGGATATGCCCTGATGGCCACACTACGCACCTCACCCCAAATGTGGTGCTAGGGGGCATTCACCTTCCCAAGTCTGTACCCGCTTAGGGTGTTTCATGGGTGCAGACACCAAATGGGAGGTACTAAAACTGAAGGGAATATTTCTGTGCTTCATGGTCAGGAAATGTCTCCTAGGATGCTTTCCTTCCCCAGTGTGGGACAGGGAGCAGATCTTAAATGGAGGCTGGCTGCTGAAAATATCAGCATGACTATTAGCCAAAATGCCAGCCAGCACCACCTCTAGGGCGGAAAACAAGAGAGACAAGGGAAGAAAGGGAGGAAGGCTTAATAGGGAGGAGCAAGGGTCCCCAGTGAGGGTATCTTTGCATGAGGGTAGCAGCACCCAGGGGGTTGGTTCATGTGCACAAAATCTAGGGACGTGGACCCGTAGGAGAGAGCCTGCCTGGCTGCTTTCTGCTCCCAGGCAGCCCTTGCCTTGCATCAGCCCCAGTGCCCAACCCCATCACCGCACTGACTCATTGCCAGCTGAGTCCCAGCACAGGGTCGGGCCTCTGGCTGAGCCAAGGTGCCTGGCACGCAGAGCAGTGCAATGCCAGGCAGCAGAAGGGGAGGCTGCAAGAGGTGGGCAGAAAGATTTTAGCCCTTCTTTCTCTTCCCAGAGTGCGGCGCTGGATGCTTGCCCCTCTCCCCTCAGCTCGGGGGTGAGCATTTAGTGTCAGGCTCGGATAAGCCCCATGAAGGGCTCTGCTCTGTGATCCATAACTTCTCTGCCCGTGCGAGATTCCTTTGCATTATGGCCTGGGGACCATGAGGGCAGGAGGGGGAAGGCAGGAAGCAAGTGAAATCCAAATCCCCCCAAATCTCCTGGCCTTTGCCTGCTCGCACCAGTTTCACTTTGCTAAAGCCGATTTGAGTTCTGATCCCGACAGGAGGGAGGAGGGAGCAGGCAGCCTTAGAGACCAGAAGGCAAAGATGCAGGGAGTGGACTTACCTCTGTCCTGCTGGTGGCACTGCCCGTGGGCTGCTGTCAAGGGGAGAGGAGATGAGGCACTTGAACATAGCTCACAGGGCAGGGATCTGAGTCCTGCATAGCCTCCAGCAGCTCTGGTTCACACCATACACAAGCTGGATTTCAGAGGTTGAGCTTTGCAGGTTTTGCCTCTATTCTCCATATCCCAAGTTCTGCAAAGATCAAAGTTTTGCCAAGGCAAGGTCACTCCCAGTCCACGATAACTACAAGGGCTGGCCCTTGGAGGGCCGTCTGGAGCAGCACAGGCTGAGGGATTAGAGCCCTCCAGGACGTGTGAGTGTGGTATACGGTGGCAGGAGGGAGACAGGAAAGCTGGTGTTGGATTCATGGTGGCTCAATTGCTTTAATCTCCGGGATTAAGGCAGTGGAGGAATGTGGTGTGTGGCCGCGACCTGCTTAGGCCGCCTGGAGTGAACCCAGGTCAGCACCATGATGGGCTCCAGCCCGTGCCACACACCTTCTGGCTGCCAGATGAGGGGATGCACAAGGAGCAGGAGGAAAGAGGGTGCTTAGGAACCAACCCATTACTTGCTAGTCCCCTCTTTGATCCCCCACCAGATTTACCCGTGTTTTCCACGAGCAATGCCTCCTCTTCAGTTTTTTGGGCCAGTTCAGGCCTCTGTATCTTCCTCAGAGCCTACAGCTTAACAGAATTGGTCACATTTTAGTGCAAAGGGCTACAGGGGTGCCAAGGTGCTGCCAAAGTCCCATCCCATGTAGTTATTTTGCTGGGGACATAACAAATGAAACTTTTTTTGCTGTTTGTGAGCCCTGCTATTCCTTAACAGCTGTGGAGAATTCCCAGTCATGGGAAGACTGGTCACTTCTGAGAGCACTGGGTTTTGGCTGGATGTAGAATGACCTTAAGTCACAAGAATATTTGAGGAGGAAAACCATAAAATGAAATTGAAGTGCTTCTGGCTGAAACGCTGGTGAAGCCTTGAGCTATGAGTTTGATCTCATCTTCAAATGCTCTGAGCCGTCCTTCCTGTGCACTTCACCATTTCCTTGGAGAGCCTATGTTAAACTAGAGCAGCTCATGATCTGGCAGGAATACAGAGAAGGAGCTTACATTTCTGCAGTGCCTTTCATCCAGAGACCAAAGCCCATCTATTTCTACAAGGAACATAGAAGCTAAATTTTTTACAACTGCTTGGCCAAGTTCAAGAAAGGCTGGCCCTTTGTGCTTCAGCCTTTTGCATTATCCATGTCTGAGGTGAGCAGGAGCTACAGCAATAGCTGTAGCACTGTTTCTGCCCCTTCCAAAATTTCTTTGAGTCCCTTCTAGGATATTGCAACATGATTAAAGGCCTAGCAAGCTCCAGACAACAACATGGATACTGTGGAACCAACGCCAATTGCTGCCATTTTTGCTCAGTAGAGTCTCAAACTTGGAGTAGAGCCTACGGAAGAGTGGGAGGTTAACCTGGAACAGAGTCTGGGGAAAAGCAAGAGTCATGGGGAAGGCAACACTACAGGTAGTGATGGTGTGCCACTCTACCTTTGTCCAAAGGATGATCCCAACTGCCCTTAATTTCCACAAGGTTTTTGAAAGCAGCTCGTCCAACCTTATTTTACACAGCTATGAAAGGCTGCGCTTTGCCCTTTGGCAATATAAGAGAGGGTGTTGAACTTACTGAGGTGAGAAGCATCACACAGGTGGGGAAGGTGGACCCAACACTGGCACCAACCAGTGTCAGGGCCTAATGAATAATAATGAGTAGGAGGAAAACATTACTGTCTCCACCGAAACACTCCAAGCTTTTCCTGTTGTTCTGGGAAGTACTCTCAATGGGGCAACACCCTGGCATTTGGATTTACACGCTGTGCCCCATAATGCTGCGTATAGGTGTTTTTTTTCTGACGTATCTGCCCCACTCCTTCCCCTCTTCTCTTTACCACCTTGGTCTCTGCAGGCTGTTGAACGAAAGCGACAAGCGGCCCTTTATCGAAGAGGCAGAGCGGCTGAGGATGCAGCACAAGAAGGACCATCCTGATTACAAGTACCAGCCCCGTCGGCGGAAAAACGGCAAGGCCACACAGGGTGAGGGTGAAGGCCAGGTAGAGGGGGACGCTGGCGGGGCTGCTGCCATCCAGGCCCACTACAAGAACGCCCACCTGGATCACAGGCATCCCGGTGAAGGGTCGCCCATGTCTGACGGTCATCCAGAACACTCCTCAGGTGAGTCCCAGGTCTCTGTGAATCTATTGATCTCTTAGCTACAGTCAACTCATAGGCTCAAAAAAGACAAGTCATCATGGTGAAAGTCTTGGCAAGGGGGCTCACACCTTGCACAGAGTTTGACCCAACAAGCTCTGCTGGTGTCAGCAGTTCTGGGACGTGCCTGAATTTTGTAGGCACTTGCATTCTTCTGGTCTCGTTGCACCCTCTCTTTTTTCCACAAGATGACATAAAAAGGTTTGGTTTAGGCTATTTCTTTCTCCCTCCACTGAAGTCTCCAACCAGACAGCTATTGGCATACTGGGAAGAACAGAGTTATGTATAGAGCCAGGCATAAAGCGGTAACTCACCTCTTCTCTCTCTTTCCTCCTCAAAATGTTCTTCACATTGCAGGTCAGAGCCACGGGCCCCCCACACCGCCTACCACTCCTAAGACCGAGCTGCAGGCAGGCAAAGCCGACTCCAAACGGGAAGGGCGTTCCCTTGGGGAAGGGGGAAAGCCACACATTGACTTTGGCAATGTGGACATTGGGGAAATCAGCCATGAAGTGATGTCCAACATGGAGACCTTTGATGTCAATGAATTCGACCAATACCTGCCGCCCAACGGACACGCCGGCCACCCAGGCCATGTCGGGGGCTATGCGGCAGCGGCGGCTGCTGGCTACGGCCTTGGGAGCGCCCTGGCTGCAGCCAGTGGACACTCTGCCTGGATCTCCAAGCAGCATGGAGTCTCCTTGTCCACTGCCACCTCATCAGTGGTGGATTCCAAGGCCCAGGTGAAAACAGAGGGGTCCACCCCTGGAGGTCATTACACTGACCAGCCCTCCACCTCCCAGATAGCTTACACATCCCTGAGTCTGCCCCACTACGGTTCGGCCTTTCCCTCCATCTCCAGGCCACAGTTTGACTACCCGGACCACCAGCCCTCAGGACCCTACTACAGCCATTCCACTCAAGCCTCTGGCCTTTACTCTGCCTTCTCCTATATGGGACCTTCTCAACGTCCCCTTTACACTGCCATCTCTGACCCTGCACCGTCTGTGCCACAGTCCCATAGCCCCACACATTGGGAACAGCCCGTGTACACGACTCTCTCCAGACCATAGGGAATGGGAAACGGTGACCGAAGCAGGAATGGAAAGGCTCCGAAGAATCAGCACAGGCAGAAGAGCCTCTGAACTCCAAGGTCACTCAGTGCCCATCCAGTCACCAGAATGCACTGAGTATACCGAAGTGCCTTTCTTGACCCCAGCTATCATTGGCACACCCGCCTTGAGGAAGGTTTATCGTCCTTTCGCCCTTTACCACTTTCATGCAGGCCACACGACTGGCTTGCCACACCTTATTGGCCTTCTAGATGAGGAGGATTCTAGACATGGAGTGACTGGTCTGTGGTGGGTTTTGTGTGCACCATGGACTGTACAATGAGAGAGACTGTCCTTTCCTTCCCCTCCCCAGATTGCTCCAGGGAGTTAGCAAGTGTTTCCAACAGGCTACAATGGCAAGCACTTTGTCACCTACCGCAAGTGAAGGGTGGTTGCTCAGCCTTGGTGGATGTGTAAGAGGAGCAGTAGGGAGGATGGCATGGACGGCTTCCTTGCAATCAGCATCGTGCAGCAGTCCTGCCTAAGATTCACACGTGCATGAATCTTGAACCACTTGGAAGACCAACCTACACCTGCTTCCCTGCTGATTTCCACAGCTGCACCCCAGCTTTTCTCCCCACCTCCTCTCTCCATCCTGTCTCTGTTTAATCTTACACTTTTTCCAGCATGGGGATTTTAAGCATGAACAGTGCATGGGACTTGGGAACAGCATTGTCAGTCTTAGTGTAACTCATATTACAGCCTGTATGCACATGTGTGTTCATGAATGGAGGTGGAGGAGAGGTGGGGAAGGACCAGTGAATCACTACGGTGTTGTGGGTGAATCCTCTTTTCTTAAAATTACTCTGTATCATTCATTTATGTCAGGCATTTCTGGCCTCTCAGTCTTTTCTAATCTCTTCAGAATCCCAAACAACCCCTAAGCAAACTTGGTCCTTGCTCTTCCATGTTTGACTGTGCCTTCCTGAAATGAAGAGGCACCAAGAAAGCTACTATGCACTTGTCAACACTCTGAGGTGATTCCAGTACTCTTTGAACCCCCACTCCAAACCCAGGCTGATGGGATCTGTGTCCCCACTCATTTGTTCATCATGTCTCCCAGTCAGTCAACACCTCTCTCCCATCTACACTGAGGATGGAAAGATACTCCTGTGGCTTTAAGCAAGGTAGATACAGACCCAATCTTGGATGGGTGTAAAGAAGCCTATTTAGGTGCAAAGGAATCTATTTTCCCCTTTGGGTTTCAAACTCAAAGCAACCAGCTCTCCCAGTCAGACTAATCTCCTTTTTCAGTCCAACACCTGCGGACAGTCTGCTTGCTTCTCCTTTGTCACCTTCAGGACTGGGGTGGTTTGTCATGCCAGGGAGTGAACTGGCACAAAACTTGCTGCAGGAAAAGATGACTCCTGCCAATTGATCACAGAGACATTTGTGGGACCGTCCAGTGCATATTCCAGTCTAGAAAGAGACTTTAACCAAACGTGGACTGCGATGGGCACTGCTGTATCCCTCTGCTGATATGACTGTCAGATGCCTCTCCTGCCTCCCTTAGCTACAGATGACTTATCCTTGTGGTGTCTGAAAAGATCACGTAGAATGTTTGCTCCTTGTACGCATGTAACTTCTTCCAGCCCTGTCCCCTTATTTATGCAAGTAGCACCTTCCTCCCTCACCTCCCTTTCCTCAGTCTCTATGCTGTCCTAGCACCAATAACTCTGCATTAAACATATGGAATAATAAACTTAAAAGTTTCATTTTCACATGTCTGGGTTTTTTTGACGTCTTCTCTTCAAGTCTCTGTTTTTTCCCCCAGTAAATGTATGATGGGTCACATCACCACCATAAGGATCCTGTGCACAGCTTTCCTCTACCTTTCAGGAAAAGGACACAAGCCGAACTCTGGCTGACCAGACTCTTTCATGGAGGTGAAGCTCATCTTCTGCTCACACCCCAGCTCCAATCATTGATTCCGTAAGAAGTGCACTAACACTGATTTCTGTTCTTCAGCTGAAATTCAGCGCATGCAATAAGGAGCACTATTTTGCATGTGCTTCACCCAAAAATTTCTTAGGGTAATAGTTAATGCTCCCTAGAAGTGTGGGATTTCTCATCTTGGTTCCTCATCACCAGGTAGCAGGTAACATACCTTCAAAAAAAACTTCCCCACATACACAAACTTTTGTATTTTGGAAGCAACCTTTAGTTTCTCTGTAGAAACTCAACCCCTCAGCCTCTTGCCTTCCACAAGCAAAAACGTAAATACAAACACTCACACACACAGAGTATATTCCAGATTAGATGTATACACCTTCTTACTTGTTGAAGACATTCTGGGTATAGTCAGATCTGAGAGGGTATCTGAAGTTTCCAGAAAGAAAATGTATAGCAGGTATCACTGTGCTTCAGAACATCTCTTGAGGCTAACAGCAGGAAGGTAGGAGCCCAATTAACAGAGACTCCACAACAATTACAAGTTGATTCCAAAGGGTTTCAGTGCTGATGCACGTGAGCAAATACAGTGAGTTTGTGTTCACTAAACACTTTATGGGCGAGTAGAGTGAGCAGAACATCTGGGAACTGTAGAACACATTCAAAACTTTTTAAAAAGCACAGCACTATTTGGATGAAGTTCTGTATAGGGTCAAGAGCATCCATAGCAGAATGGCTTAATGGATCTAATAACAGTGATGCCAGCTAAAGAGTTCTATGAAAAATAGGACTGACCATTTATGGAGAGGAGAAATCTCTACCCCAAATTACAGGCTTTAGGAAGAGCCCAGGAAGGAACTACTGCACTGCTGATCAGGTCAGGACTGTGTGTGGGGAAGAAGGGAAGTCATGGTGGAGTTAGGGGTATGAGAGCTGATCGCAGGGATGTGAGAGAGAAGTGACACGGCATGGATGAACAGAAGAGTGGAAAAGAAAGTTCGTAACTACACCTAAGTACCCTTCTCCAGCTCCTCATAAAGCAAATTAAGAAAGCAAGTAGGCTCTGCCTCGACCATTCTCCAGTGGAAAGAAATGCTTCCTCTCATGTAGGAGGATGCTCACAACTAAGACAGGACTGAGAATGCCACTGGTAACAGAGGGGTTAATCACTCGTCCTGCAGCCTAGCAGGAGCTGGCCCGGCATCCTTCCCTATCCCTTTAATCGTATCTGATACAGATGCAAGGCTGGGGAGGGGAGGCGGGTAGGGAACAAAGAAGCCATTTAAAAAAAAAATCAAAAAAAAGGACAAGAAAACGACCCCGCGCTCCATGGCAGACGCCAAAATGATTGCACAAAGGCACCATTTCAGGGCTGAAATTTCACCGCACCAACGTGATTAAAGGATTCCATGGAGGGTGGGGGGAGAGGGCTGAAGGCAACAGTGCTGCAAATTAACCTTTTCTTGGTAAGGTTGGCCTGGACTAGGAAGCATTTGTGTTCCTCACAGTCAATCCCCTTCCCACACCTGCAAGCACCTCCACATCCCCTTTGACCTGTCAGTTTTGCCCAGGATCCATTCAATTCTTGCATTATTGCCTTGAAAACCAGCCCCTCCCGTACACATCAACAGAAGATGCTCAGACTGGTGCTTTTACAGGGAGCAGTAAGAGAATGACATTCATGGTTGGTTATATGAGCAGAGTTCCCAGGCAGGTGGGTATAAACTCCCTTTGGGACATGGATGCTCACGTGCAGGCACTGACCACATATGCAGCATGGAGAATGAACACTTTATATATACAAGCACAAGCTTTAACACAGATTAGTTGGAAATACTCTTTCTAGGCCAGTGTAAAAAAAAAAATTAATATAAGGCAGAAACCATAGGTGAGGTGCACCTTCCCCCTTCTTCTCTTTAGAAATAAAACCTGAAAATTCTGAGAGCACTTTTTAGTAAGAAAATTAAGAAAGACTTCATGTGTTCTGCCCAAGAGCTCAGATCTTCCTCACGTAGAACAAGAATCTTGATGCACACAGAACAAAAAATGACAAGTAGGTAGCTGTTGGCTGGAAGCCCTTGCAGATTGTAAGGCATCCACCCAAATCTTCACTCGAGCACGTTACCTCCCTGCACATCAGAGGTAAGAGTGCAGGTACCTAAAGGGGCCAAATGACTGATCTTTCATCACACTACAGATTAAAGGAACTTCAGGCTTTGACTAGTTGTGCCACTGTAAGAACCACCAGGGTATGTACAAGTGAGATGGCTGGAGAGCACCCACCCCTCCAGAACATCAGTTCCACTGCGTGTCAGAGAATGGCTGCACAAGGAGCGAGCGAAACCACCTACGACTGCAAAGTTGGTGGGGCTGCAAGTGGCGACTGCGCTTCCGGCTGGGGCAGTGCCACTGAAAGGGGATCCCCACTTCTGATAAGCAGTGGGAGCACAGAAACAATAGGTGATTTGATGAGAGTGCTCTACGATACTCCTGAGAAGCCCCACAGTCAGCACCGGCCAAAGAGGAAATTGGGAGTTTCCACAGCAACCTGCTCAGGGCACAAAGGCCCAACTGTCTAGGGAGAAGCAATGAAGGTGTCTCAGCACTCTCATTTTAAGAAGGAACAGCGGTGGAAGGCTGGAGTCTTTCTGAAGTCAGTGTACCTGCAAGATCATTTCTGTACAGCAGGAGTTTAATTGTATATCAGTCCTATAACCAGGGAGGAGCAGTGCTGGAGGAGGAGGAAGTAGTTACTGCAGACTTTAGCCTAGCTAAAAGATAAGGGGGAAAAAAAGCTGCAAAAAAAGCATTGCACTCGGGTCCCTAATTTTACTAATACAGCCCATGACACAGAGAGAAAGAACAATAGCCAAGCTGTTACACAGAAAGTCATCTTTGGGGCATGTAGGACTGAGATGAAAGAGGAAGCGGGAGAGGAAAAAACCCAAACACATTTAACTTAAAATGAGGAGATTTAAAATTTATTTACATAAATACTAAACAAAATTAGAAACATTCCTGAAAAAGAAAAAAAAAAAAAAAACTGGTGGCTGGAGTCTGATCAGTCTGTGATAATTAACTCATCCACACCCCAGTCTTCATAGCTCCCATCTGGCAGGTAACGACGGATGATTATGGGGATCTTGCGTGCTCTGCAGGGAAGACAGAGAGGTGAACAGAAATGTCAGAGCCTTCCCTGTATCGCTTTAGCAGGCAATGGGAACTCAGGAGCTTGGTGGTTTCAATAAGCTCATCATACTTAACTGAGGGCTGTGTAGCACCAGTGATTTGATACGATATAGCGAAGTCCCAACAACCTTTTGTCTTTTGTAGATGCAAAGCACTGAGCGCCCTTAGGCTACAAACACCGAAGACTCACAAGTCAGACCTCTGTTGCTAGTGCAGGAATTGAGCCCTGTGATCTGAACCCACTATGAGACAACATCAAGCATCTAACACTGATATGGGGGAGAAGCAAACTGTGGGACAGCAGGGAGCTCTGCTGTGGAAAGGTGGGCCTCCAAATGGTCATCCAAAAGCTGCCTCTGCTACAGTCAGAAAGGATTTATTTACCTTTCTGTAAGCAGGGGCCAAGCACAATAAGCCAAGCACGCAAGGGTGCAGGAAACACACATTCTCACCAGATTGACCCTTATTTTAATTTTTGCCAGGACTTCATGTGAACATAGGTCTGTTCAGATGGCTGCTTTGAAACAATTCCATTTGGGGAATTAAACTGAGTCTGGAAAGATGAGGACCTTGAGTTTGCATCACAGAAATAAAGAACACTGGGACTGTGAAGTAGAAGAGGTCCAGAGCACTCCTAATCATCAGTATTTGCACAAGCAACTAGGATGGAAGAGAGCAGCTGTGGAGAAGCTTCAATGTGAAAAAAGGGGAAGGCAACTATAGAGCTTACTGAAGGAAGACAAATTCATCTTGGAATAAACTGCTAAATGCTGGGATGAGGAGAGGATTGCTGGCTTTATGGGAATCAATACACTCACCACCAAATCTGTGACTTACTTGAGTTCTTTCATGGCAATCAGCAAGGGGTCTGTCTCGCCTTCCAGCTCAACCATCACAGGGGCACACATCCTGAGAAGAACATCAACAACCACTTAAATAAACACACAGAAGAAAAAAAAGGACAGCTCAACATCTGTCTGCCTCTGTCACCTGTACAATGGCCAATAAAGGAGAAGGGTGAGACTGGCAAAACTGATTTGCTCTGTTACGCACTTCAAGAAGAAAATTCTCCCAGCTGGCTACAGAAAGAACTTTTACTTGAATGTTCTTCTTGTCCCACCCCTCAGCCTCTGCTGACCAGCTCATGCTCAAGGACTGGTCAAACCCACGCTCATCTCCCTCTGCTGTGCTTAAACATGAGGAAAAGAGCAGTTCTACAATTAATCCAATGGAAAGGGTGGAACTGCTGTATATTGAGCATGCCTCCTGCAACTCCAGCACATCTGTTATGTTCTGACTTGCTCACAGCTTCCAGGCTTTTATCAAGGGAAGAGAGGGGCTGGATTTACAACATACTTTACCTCTAGGAAGCAAAAAATTATGCATTTTGCAATGGATTGTGATGACATCCATCTACTGGGCAGTGGCAGCAGAGAAACCTCACGTTATATGTGGGTGAGGCCACGGGGGCTGCTCACCTGGGTTCAGCACCAAAGGCAGAAGACGCAGGTGAAGCAGAACTAGGTGGCAGAGTGTTGTGGATTAAAGGCCTGGCATGGGCCCATCTCATCTCCCCCCATCTTTCTGGCCTTCTGCCAATTGAAAGA